TTGGGTAGTTTGCAAGTGCAAAGGACTGGGAGGGGGAAAGTGTAGTAGTTAGCAAAACCCAGAATTGACAGTTGGATGTGCCAATGAGATATTCCATATCATGTTACGACATGTTCAGTATATTAACCAGGGCTGACCGGAAAGCCGGGGGATTCTCCCAGAATCGCTCAGGCTTGCTTTTCCAGAATTGCAATTTCAGTTTCAGGGTTCTTTTTTGCTCCTCTGGGATTGCTGTCAGCGGGTGGTGAGCAATTGTACTGTGCATCACTCATATAGAGATATATATATGTATATATAAATATATATGTATAGCTGTTATCATTATTATTATCATTACTATTTTATTTTACTCTAATTATTGAATTGTTCTTATCTCAACTTACAAGTCTCCTCACCTTTATCAATTCAATTCTCTCCCCTATTGCATGGGGCAGGGGGCGGGGCAGGTGGGGAGAGGGAAAGGAGGAGGGTGTGAGCGGCTGTGTCTTGTTTGGTTGCCAGCTAAGTTAAGCTATCACAGCTAATGAGACCTTCTTCAGCCAAAATAAACAATAGAATTTACTGTGTTTAGTAACATAGCATTATTGTACAGGGAGTTTTAAACAGAATTTAAATAGGCAGTAAAATACTCCATAGAACTATGAAATACATAAGCTGTATATGAAGAAACATTATTTCTTGGTTTTAAATAGGTGCGCTTTAAACAATACACAAAGTTGATAATTGTAGGAGCTTGTTAGAGTTCTTAGATGTTGGAATGCAACATTTACAATATAAACTTTAACTTGTGTACCTGTATTCATATATAGTTTTTATTAGAGTTTTTTTTATAGATTATTTTTTTGTCATTGAAATCAGTTGGTCAGTTTTGAGGGAGAGTCTATAAATTGCATTCCCATGAGTTCACCCTCTGCATCTGAACTGTGAAGGTGAAGGAGTAGGTGCAGAAGCTTTCCAATATTCATAAGTCAAAGAAATTTTTTCTTTAAATCTTTCAGCACTTGATTGCTGTTATTTTTTCTACGTGTTGCCAGACTTTAACTTTAGGAGATTAATAACAGTTGAAAGTTTAACATATTGTTTTAAATCATTCCTTATTTTCCTACCGAGTAGATAAAACTACAGGAGATGCACTATGTTCAGCTTTGTAAGGGTCAGTGTATTCGTCACTGTAATGGCCATAGCAAATTTTTTCCCTGTGTTATGTATAGCTTTTTGTAGGGTATATGAAAAAACCATAAATATTGCCATTATTACGGAAGTTAATTTTGCTTACAACTGTATATTGTTTAAGGAAGTTAATTTTGCCTACATGTATACATTATTTACTGTACTGGAAAGGGGCTTATAAACTTCATGCTGTAATATGCCAGGCTAACCATTTATGTACAGAAGCAAGTGAAAATCTTTAAGCATAAAATGAATGAAAAGATCAACATACTGCTTTCAGTTGGGTTTGTTTAAATAAATGTGAAGTTGTGATCCACTTTTTCATGTGAAATAAAAGGAATTTAATGAGGTTGATCATACTGCACATAAAACCATTATCAGGAAAATCGACATTTTCAAATCAATGGCTAATTAATGGACAGGAGCACTGAAAGAATATACAGAAGTGAAATACGCGCTTACTTTATTGTTAGCTATTCACTAGCCACTTTGCCTGAAGGAAAAATAGATTTTTAACTTAATCTGTAATGTTCTGTGAGGATGCTTTTGTCCAAGATTTAAGTTAACTGTTACTCATCAAAGTATTTTCAGAACAATTGCATACAAAAAAAAAAAAAAATCAATGTCATATTTCAAGTACAAAAACGTACCTAGACTGAAATCTTTGACTTTGAATAACTTTGTCACAAGAATTAGTACTTCCCTCACTCACCCCTCCCACTTCTTTCCCCCCCCCCCCCCCAAAAAAAAAAAAAAATAAAATTAGCCTGGTTAGTTTATGCACTGCAGGATTATCTGAAAAATGGTTTTATCTTTTCCCTTTGGTGACTAGATTTGACATTTCAGTATTTTCTCTCTTCTAAATGTGCAGTTTATAAAGAACAGGGGTGCAGTATTTTTAAAAGGGAAGAAAAATGTCTGTGTGCTGCTGTTTCATAGAGCTACATCAAATTCTAACCAGGAAAAACACAGCATTATACAAAAAAAAAAAAAAAAAAAAAAA